ACTTGTTGGCTGCCACATACGAGATAATACATCTTCACAAGTTGTCAGTTTAGTGCTACAGACAAGATATCTTGTTTTAACAAGTCCTCAGAGCCATAGACAAAATAATTCATCTTAAAAGTGTTATTCTTTTGCAAAATGGTAGTATTTGCATATTACACTTATTAGATATTCTGTTGTATATTAGTTGATTTGCATGAAAATAAAATCTGATATTACCCACTATAATATCCAATATTAATTATAAAAATAAAAATCCATCATTAATTATAAGTTTCTAAAAAATAATAAAAGTGGTATTAATTATAGATTTCAAACTATAATACATTGATGCCTACCATCCCATTTTGGGGATGGTGAGTATTAATAGGTTAAACATCAATTTTTCCCTTCGAGAAAAATCCAGCACAAGTTACAATATTAAAATATACACTTGGCAGCAAACAGGTTAAAAGTAGAATTTGATGATAACCAACAAAGCTTTTATCTAAAATTTATATGAATACATTTTTAAACTCAATCTGTGTATTGTGCATTTTTGATGCACAGAATAAAACTGTTATAACATTTTAATTTCTAATTTATTCAGAAATTAAAGAACTTACTCCTGAGACATTTATTTAAGATGTTTGTTTTCTTAAAAAGATCATCAGTTTTTCTATTTTTTCACCAATACTAATAAGTACGATCAAAAATGGATATAAAACTGTAAAACCAACTGTCATAATGGTCTACTTTTCTAAGTTTACAATTACTGTATTATTAGTAGAGGTAAGCGCTTTGCACTAAACTTTGTAGATTTATAAATAATAGATTTATTATTATTTTCAACTGAAGCAGATAATCATTTAAATTTAGAAAAGATCTCTAAAGAGACTTACACACTGAATCAGTTAAGGTTACTTATTGTGGTCTTCATTATTATTTTAAAAAAGAGCTCATTGTCACTGCACAACACTGTATGTAGGGTTTTTATTGACAGCTATTCAAACCTATTTCTTGCTTGTTTATTTTCTAATAAGCACTCAAAATCATATTTTATCTATTTAACACCAAAACATTCAAGAAATAAACATTTCTTATTACTTCATTGATTTTTTTAGAGCAAGATCACATGCAAGATTTATTTTTTGTTATAAAGTAATAAAAAAAGAATAAAATGTTCACTTATCAGTGCTTCAGAGATTACATCCACTCACGAGAGGACTTGATTTGTAAAACATATCTTCAACAATATTTTTCTTAAAAAATGTTACTTATAAAACTATTTGCTTTAAAAACACTACATTTTTGTAATAGGAGTAGATAGGTTAGCCTGTCACCCAGTTCACAGTCTTTTGAACAGGAGTAGAGTTTTATCCCTTGTTCCCTTTTTAGAATTGGGTTTCTGGTTCTTTCTCCTAAAGTTTTCTCATTCTCTTTCACTCTTAGTAATCCTTTGTGTCTTACTGGCATTATTGCCTTGCTTGGGATAAATTGATTAAAAAAAAAAGATAAAAAAGTCATCATTGTATATTCAGAGGCAACAAATTACATTTTTAGCAGCCCACTTTGTGATGTAGGACTGGATAAGAGATACTGTTTGGGATTTATAATTTGATTAAAAGCAAGTTTTATATTAATGAAAAATATAGATTGATTCATTTTATTCATTTCATTCTACTGCTTAATGAAATATATATTTAGATAATACTGCTAACAGTTTTTTCTCACATTTCTTGCTTGCAGAACTCTCTTCCAGCTTCTTGCTTTCCTGTCAACTTTGATCTTGTCTTCTTAATTCTTGTCCTTTGATTGTTCTTAATAATGTTTTTCTTTTTCTCATATTCTTTCACACTCAGTAACCTCCTTTGTCTTAATGGCTTTATTGCTTTGCTTGGGGCAAAATGATTTTATATATATATATATATATATATATATATATATATATACACAAATTTTGTTAAATTCAACTAACAAGGTCCATTTCATTTTCAGTAAGATATGGTGCAGTGGGATCCAAATTGGGGATAAACTGCTTCCAGTTCATGTTTTATTTTTTGTTTTGTTTTTGTTGGCTACATCCTAGCATTTTTAGAGGATGTTGGGATTTAAATTAATCCAATGTCATGTCTAAAATGGTTACAGAGAGATAGACAGCACCAAAAAAGAATGTATCAGATATTTATATGTATTATGTTTTACACATATTTAATATTTTATACACAGTTTAAGTGGTGAAAGATATTTTATTTAAACAGACAGTTCATATCATTTAAATTTAATAAAACTTGTTTGGATGAATTCTTGCTGCCTAAATATGCCACACACTCACACACACGCATATATATATTTTAAAAAGAAGAAAGAAACCACAAACTTTTTTAGTTATGATGTGAATTTTTTAAAAAAAATATATGCTATACTTTATTTTGCATATTTTTGCTACACGAGTTTCTGGTCTCGTGACCTTCCTCAGGTAAAAACACACACACAATGCACAAAAATGGAAATAGATCTAAGAAGATACAGGGGGTCATAAAAAGATAAGAACAAAGACATCCTTCCTTCACTCTTTCTCTGATCAATCCTAATTGTTTTATTACCCCTTAAGCAGAACACTTTTGCCCCCAGTCTAAGAAGAAACATCTGGGTTACCACTACACAAAAAAACAATGGTTAAACATAAAAAAAACATAAGGAAAATTAATTCCTTTTAATAATGTGGAAATATCCACTCTTTGCCTGATGAAGGTCACAAGATCAGAAACGTGTGTAGCAAAATTATGCAAAATAAAGTATAATATATATTTAAAAAAATCCACATCATAACCAAAAATATTCTCGGTTTCTCTGTTCTTTTTAAAGTATAAACTTTTCTCTTTTTGGAACAACTATAACCTCTTCCTTATATAGTGCAGGTAATAAATCTGTTGGTATACAATATTGAATATTAAAACTGATCCACAAAAAGAGTTCAATGTGTTTATTATAACAGATATGCATATATATATATATATATATATATATATATATGTGTGTGTGTGTGTGTGTGATTAAGAACCAGCAGTGTTCTTCTAAACAAGGAAAATCAATGAGTTATTTTTCCCCTAAATAAATTTTTTTTTATCTAGCAAATACACCTAAAATTAAATATTAAAAATAATTAAAAGCTTTTAATTTCTTTTTTAGAATGTGTAAATTTTCAAATCTGTATCACCTGTTCTTTTTTTGATACACATTTTAAAACTGAAATTAAAAACTATTTTTATCATTTTAATATAATCTTACTTAAGTGTATTATAAAACTATAAAGATATTTGTAAAAATAAAATGAATTAACTTTCCTTGTTTAGAAGGAATTTTATATGCAGAACAGTAACAAACACCCACTGAACACTAGTGGGTAAAAAAGAATAATTTTTACTTTGGGTTTAAAAAAATGACTTGCAGTTTTGAAAATATACACATTTTAAAACTGAGATTAAAAATTTATTTTTTTAATATCTAATTTTACATGTATTCATTAGATAGAAACATAATTTTATTTGTAGAAAACAGAAACTCACATATCTGGAAATATACACATCTTAAAAGTGAAATTAAGAACTATTTTAATTATTCTTAATATCTAATTTAGGTGCATACCCTACATAAAAAACAAATTTATTTAAAAAAAGAAAATCTTCATTTATTTTTCTTGTTTACACACAACTTTATTTCGTGATTGGCGTAATGGCTTACTAGAAAACCCTTACAAAAAATCCGACTTCATAAAATTTAACATTAAGACAAAACTGGCAATGATTTTTTTTTTATTTTTGCTATTTTGTTGATAATTTTACCGCAAAAAGATTTTTTTTTTAAAACTGAAACAGATTTCAGACATCGCCGTATTTCCTTTTTTCTTTCTTTTGTAAACAAACAGATTTCACATTTGTTTCCTAAAACTAGTCAATTAAATATTTTTAACGTATTTTTGTTCAATCTTTTTCTCTTACAATGGTATAAATGTTGATAAAATTAAATTTTATCAACATACGAAAGTCTTTTTCAATAGTGTTTCTTTGAATATGGTCACTCAGTAGTGATATAAAAACGAAACCAAAATCATAAAAAATTTGATGTGGTTTCATGGTGTGAAGATGAAACCGAAAAAAAGTTGTTTTTTTTTTCAGTTAAACCGCACATTTCTAGTTCCCAGTGAGTAATTCTGATAACAATTATCACTTTAAAGTTTTGGAATCGATATATATTAAGTCCTACCAACCATCTCCCTGTAACCAAAAGGTGTGGTTAGTGGTTAGCCTTTAATATTATATTTGTTGTTTGCTTCCAACTAGTCTGGGGTTGTATACATGCACTCACATATATACATTAGGCATATCTGATTGAATGTTACAAACGTTATGGCTGCTTATTTTGATCATAATCCTTTCATATTTATGAATTAAAGCATGAAAACTGTTTTTAATGCTTGCTTGACCATAACATTCAAACATAAAAGAAAAAATTCCATAATAGATAACTATTTGTATTTTAATGAACGATAAAGTGTATTTGTCATCTATAGCATTTAAACACAAAAGAAAAATTCAGTAATAGATAGATACACATAGTTTTGCCTTACCAATAGCACCCCTGATGATGAACTCAGAATGAAATGGAAAGTACTTGGGTAATAAAAGTGATTCTTACCATTACAGTGTATTTCTTGCCTCATTTAATTGTGATATATGGAAAAATATTTGTGAATATGAAAGGATTATGATCAAAATAAGCAAACATAACATTTGTAACTTATTCAATCAAACATGCCTGAAAGAGAATTTGCTGCCTAAATACACAAATATTATATATTAATAGATATCAGTGAATGTATCCTAATTTTTGATTTATGATTAAGGTGAGAAAAATGATTTCTGAAATGATTATGATAATGACAAAAATACAAGGTGTTCTGTGTTTGGGGGAAGGTGTCTCAACCCAGTGGATCAGTGGGCTTGTTCCAAGTGACTCACCTGTTTGTGCAGAACATAATCATCCAGCAACATTTGGATTGAGGCTTTCCTTCTTTTTGTTATTAACCTTTTGATTACTTTTACTCCTGCTGATTTCTTTGGAGATGCTACAAAATATATACAAGTTTTAGAACTTAAAAACAATTTTACTTTCATTTCAATCTTTCTGTAAAATATCATGAGATGTCTTGTACACAAACTCTCTGACCTAATACAACATATCCTAATTGGCTAATGAAAATTAATGCAAAAGTATTTTAATAAGAGGACACTTCTCATCCAGACATTTAAGTCTCAGCGACATTTAGTCCTGAATCAATTCTCAGCTTGATACTGGTCCTAAGCTCATGTCCCATTAGGGTAGGAGGAGGGTTGGGCAAGAGGCTAGTGACTCATTCCTGTAAAAAACAGATTGCTATAAAAATGGCAAGTAGAAACAAAATAAATGATCTGTGTAATGAAGAAGGCAATGGACAACAAGATGCAAGAATGATGGGCACTAATGAAAGCTGAAAGGAATTAGTACCTTGAAATGCAAGATTCTGAGTGCCAAAACCAAAACAAAGATTGGAATATGGAAACATTATATTAATGTGGAAAAAAATAGCAGAATTTCTGAAAGAATTGAAGGATACAAACTCAATATCCCAGACATCAGTGAAATAAGATGGACTTGTAGTGGAAGAATGTGCAGCAATGGCAAAACAATCTTATAATCAGGACAGTAATGGTAATATTGGCTGCTTCCTTATAAAAAAGCATTCATTGACCAAGTAGTTAGTACTACTATTGATTGAAATTTATAAAATCTTTCTCTTAAAACAATTTTTCAGAAAAATAGATTTCTCAAGTCCAGCAGCTGTTATTGCTCTTTCCTGTATTGATGCAGGTTTCCTTCATAATCTTTTATTTGACTTGATTATGTCATTATTTTCTCTTTGACTCACATGTGATATCCATTTTAGAAGTTGTTGCTGACGGAAATCCTCACAAGACCAACATATTCATAGAGTTGGTGCAGTTCGGAACAAAGAAGCCACAAGAGCACTCATTGTCTGGGAGTCAGTGAGTGATTGTATCATCACAACACACTTCCAATTGCAACATGGCAAAACCACCACTGTTCAAGTATATGCACCAACAGAGGATTCAGATGTGGGTGATAAAAATGACTTCTATGACCCGCTACAAGATATGTTCAACAGAATCCTCAGCCATGCAGCTAACAGACAAGTTAAATGTGCAAATTGGTAAAACCAGGGAAAGTGTTGAAACTGTCATTGGAACCTTTGCACAAAGTACCAATGCTAATGGAAAACACTTGATAATCTTTTGCAATATGAAGAGTCTCATTATTGGTAACCCTTCCTTCCAAAACAAGGACACCTGCAAGAATACCTAGAGAATATCTGATGGCATCACAAATAATGAAATAGATTATATTTGCATTAGTCAGTACTGGAGATCAGTATTAAGTGATTTCAGAACATGCAGAGGAGTAGAAATTTACTCAGACTACTGCTGAAACCTAAGAGGATTACCCAACTAGAGAAGCCTTGTGTGATAGAAAAGCTCATTTCAGAACAACCAATTCTAGTGCTACCAAATAGTATACAATTCATTTTCGTTTTAAAATGTAACCAGATGCCAAAATATTTTCAGTTCAAAATCAAAAAATTTAAAAACTGTCAGGTTTCTCACTATTTATATTTTCCTTGGAATGGTTAGTAGATATTTTGTTGAGTGATGCTCTTCTCTGCAGCTTAGCCTTAGTCACAGCAATTGGGCAGTGATAATTCAGTAATGATATATAATGACATGATCTGGAAAGAAGAAAAACTAATGTACAAATAAATTTTAATGGAGAGTGAAATTTACTTCAGAAACTATTAGGTTGTTAATATATTTGTTCGTTTTTTTCTGACGTTATGCACATGATCTCAAAGAATAATCTTTCATAGCATTTCTTGCTTCTTAGTAACTCTGGTCATCCTGTAAAATCGTTGTATAGCATTATTGAAATTGTATTTCAGATTAGACACCCCTTTTAGATGGAATGCCAAGTAGGCAAGAATAAGCAAGTTCAACATCAAATTGAACTGGTTGACCAGAACACAGAGAGATTGCGAGTTCAAACTTCCCCTTCTTGAAATGGGAAAACCATTTCTGTGCCATTCTGTCAGTAATAAGTTATCTCTGTACACAAGTCAAATGTCTTGAGCAGGTTTGGCAGCTTTGTGATCTTGATTAAAAGCAAAGAGGAGAAAATGTCAAACATATTCATTCTCATCTATTTGGCATTCCATCCCAAAGGGCTATCTGTGAAATAAAATTTCAATAACGTTAAAAACTGTTTCCCAAAATGCTATGAAAGATTATTCTTAGAGATCATTTGCAGAACATCAGAGAAAAATGAACAAATATATGTAACAATCCAATGATTCCAGGCCAGTAGTGTCTAATGAGGTTGAAATTTATATATGTGAAATACAGTGTACGGTAGATATACCTCACACATAATGGTTAGACATTAGTGGCAATGGTGTCTTCATCAAACTCATGTCTTACCATTATGTGGGAGGTATTTCTGCTGCATCTTGTATAATCTACAAGTAGTACTTTTAAAAAATCAAATGTAAAAAAATAAAGATTAATATGAAATCTTTAGTGTCATCAATTTTAAAATGATTGTAAATGCTTGTAAACAGAAAATAATAAATATCTTAGGGGTTTGAATGGAAATTGAAGTAATAAAATATATTGAAAAACTTAAAAAATATAAGCGTGGACAAAGTTGAGAATAAGATTAAATCTTAAAAAAAATGTTATTTTGAGGAACCATTATGTTAATATTGGTATTTACCTGTGATTTTTTATTAGTTTTTGCAACAAGGGCTTCAGTTGACTTGCAAGAAAGGATTTTACTTGGCACTTGGGACAAGCAGAGTCAGCTGTTGAGGATGCAGATATGCCAGGGACTAGTTCACAGGCTGATGTTTGATTTGTCATGGTTGTACAAACTGTATCACATTGAAGAGAAACCTTGGGCTGGATATTTAATTTCAATTTTGCAAACATGTCATCGAATATCATCTCAGAAACCTCTGCAAGATTTTTAGTTTTGCATAACAATTCTGAAAAACAGTTTAAAATTACTTTGGATAAATTACAAACAATGTTTTATAAAATGTCTAAGTTCAGTAACTCAGTTAATAACAAGAAAGATGATGACACAACAATTTTGAAAGTTAATGCCGAAATCTCTTTTCCCATAGATAAATGAATGAGACAAAGCAAGTAAGTTCTTTTTTACTTGGATAATAGCCACACTTAAAATTGTTCATTCTCCTTTAAAATGATATAAACTTAAAATAAGATCAATAGCTTAATGAATTAAAGTGTTTGTTTTTGATGTCCTCAAGGACACATGGCACAGTGGATAAAGGCGTTAGTTAAATCCAGTGACAGGACCCAAAGAGTGTGAGTTCAATACCTGGTTAGGGCGGTGGAGAACTGGCAGAGGGGAATTAACAGGAGATAACTGATAATTGACATCCATTAAACATGGCACATCGAACTAGAACAGTCTACCCCAGCGAGTGAAATAAAGGGTTCAGTTCGACATTCCAACCACCTAAAGAAGTGTACAACGGCCAAAACATGATAAATATGGCAACAAAGATGAGGATGATAGTCCAAACAATGTAAATAGTGTTGGTTTTTAAACTTAGTGATATAGTAATTATGAGTTCAATCCCTTGGTCAGGCAGTGTATACTTGGACTCAGTGGCAACAGAGTGAACAATAGCTGTGCAATACTAAAAATAAGAACTAGACAAGATATACCTAGACATGGACAGTGGAATTAGAACAGTCTACCTTTGTAGATTAAATAAAGAATTGTTCTAAAATCCATGTAGATTACCACATCTGATGAAGGCCGAAGGAACTGTAATTTGGTTAAGTGGGATAACTCATAAAAATAAGATAATAGTCTTATTTAACAATTTTTTTTTTAATCATGTCAATATAATTTAAACTGAGAATTGTTATATTTGTTTACATTGCAAATTACTTTGTACAAATCATTAGTTTATATAATAATATAATGAAAGTTACTATAATAAAAAAGCATAGAGAAAACAAATTTTAAACTATAATGTTTGAAACTAATATGAAATCTGAGGATGAATCAGTTGTTACAACCGACATCATTTTTGGCACTCAAAATAAAAAAAAATCTGGGAAACAAATCAACAACAATATTCAAGTTTCCCAGTTGGGTATCAGATGTGTTTATCGTCTTACTAAATAAAGTCAGTGTCCCAGATGAGAGCCATAAAATAGCAGCAGATATGACATACATATTTATTTGAAGTTATTATGTGCGTGAAAAAGTTCCTGGTGAAAAAATGTTTTTCAATTGTGTATTCAGTTTCTATTTAAAAAAGAAAAAAGAGTACTGGGAGCTTATGCACACTATATAAGATGGAATATATGAAAACCAGTTGAATGCTTAAATGTTTCACTTCCTTACTGATATTTATCTCTGAGAAAAAGACTTGAAGAATTATTGGTCATGAAACATCAAATAAAGGAACCAAAAAATGAGTTGTGCAACTGTTGTATTAATATAGCATGTCTCTATATTTGTGTATGTGTATAAATATTAATATAGCATGTCTCTATATTTGTGTATGTGTATAAATTCTGTAAAGCATAAAAATAGAGCAACATTTATGTTAGAATTTTTGAGATGAGGAAAATTCAAACCAGCCTGTTCATCTTGGTTTATTAGAATCAAGTTTTAGGCTTTGTCCTCTTTTGCATTCTCTCAAGAGACACATGGCCCAGAGTATTAGTTGAGTCTAGTTCCCGGGCAGTTGTGATTTCAATCCCTGGGCCTGTTAGTGATAGAAAGTCACATACTGGTTCTGTGGCCAAAACAGACAAGCAACACAAAGGTGAGTATTAATTGATATGAAGTATCTTTAAAGTATGGAAAGTAGAGTGAGAACAATCTATCCCCATAAATTGAATAAAGGAAGGTGACCAAGTATGCTGACATGTACTCTGAATAATAAAACATAACAGAGCAACATTGTTTACTTCTTGATGGACTATTACAATATTTTTCCATTTTGATGTTTTGTATAACTTTAGCAAAATGTAGCTCTTCAAAGATTTTGTACTGAGGAGTTTTTCAATAATATTAATAATTATATTCTAGAAAGACCCATAAAAATTTCATGGTTTTCCTATTTGAATTTTCTAATGAATCTTACTTAATTCTTAAGTTAATTAAGTTAAGTTAAGCTGATGGTGAGTTCTTTGACAAAATATCTGTAGAATTCCCCTATCACATTGTTAAATATTTGAGCTTAACAATTTTAACAAAATACAGCAATAACAATCATAAATATGAATGCAGGTCATTATTTTAAGAAGTGGGTACAAATGAAAAGATCTGAAATTGATAACTTTTTCCATTTCACTGAAACAACAGTTAAACACTTCCAGCTTTCCTTGTCTTTTATTCATTTTCTTACTGAAACCAAGTAGCATTTTTCTATGCAATCAAAATCAAATAGTTCATTATTTATGAGGTATTGGCGGATGTTAAACACTTCTTTCTTTCCAGCCAAATCTCCAACTTATGAACATTTCTCTAAATAATAATTTAAAAATAATTCAGCAGACGATGTTATTTTATTTATGGTAACTGTATTTTAAGTGATTGCCTTACTCGGTTTCCATTGGTCAATACAGTGTCTGAAAAATGGCGTTTTATTGCAGTTGCCAATGCTTCACAGTTTTTTTTGGCTAAGATTAAAGTGTAGTACCTGTTCTTATTAGTGTAATCTGATTCTCTCTCTGTCTTCCTTTCTCTCACTGAAACCACAATCAAAACAGAGTAGTCCATTATTTATGAGGTACTGGCAGTATGTAATGGTTATGTGAACTAACAAAGGGAGGGACAAGCATAATTATAATAGGATGTGTGTGCAGAAGTTCATTGATAAATCGTTTTTCTATAAATACTTTCATGGTAATTGTTATGACAACCTTTCCACTGTGGTATCTAGACTTTATGAATTTAAACACAGTACAAGAGTGGCAACAAATCTCATCAATTTATAGTTGAATTGGCTAGATGCAACTGTAAGTTCTATGCTAACAGTTTCTTCTCTCACACTTCTTGATTGTGAAACTCTCTTCCGGATCCATGCTTTAATATTCAGAAATGTAAATGCAATGTCAATTCTTATCTACTGCCTTCTAGATTATTCTTCTTTTATTGTTCTCACTCCTTAATAATGTTTCTCTTTTTTATTTTTTTTACACTCAGTAACCTTTTGTGTCTTAGTGGCTTTACTTCCTTGCCTAGGGTGAAATAATTAAACAAATTTTACACAGGATAGAATAATGAAACTGATACAAAAAAATCTATTTTTGTTCAACATTACAATTTTTTTTTTCAGCATAATCACACGTAATGTGATAAATATTTCCAAACATTCTATCCACTTTTTCATTGTCTTAAAGAAAATACTTGACTTTTGATCCAATTGAACATAAAAATTTAAACTTCAGATAACAAAAAAATTGACAATTTTCAATCCCATTTTCAATTTCAGAAACAATCAGGAGTCTGACGCTGCCACATTGAAGCTGTATAGAAAATGTGCAAAAACTGCACATTTCGTGCTTCTGTTTGTTAACTGTATTGCAGCCTTGTGCTGCTATAATGTATAAAAAACACTTCTCCAACCAGGCTTTATCTATCAGGTGCATTTTTTGAGTATTCACAATACCTTTCTGAATTAATTATCATTCACCTTTGCAGAAATTTCATGCAACTGATTCCCTTTACATTCTTCAAAATTGTAAGCATCATTTTCTGCACTGAAAGAACTGTTTTGAATTTCCTTACTCTCAGAGAATCTGGGTGACATCTATCTGGTGCTGTATGGCACATAAGGCCTACACTCTGCCCTGTCTGCAGCTGACGTTTGCACCTCACCACAGGATCACCAGACCATTGCTTCCTTCCCCTTCTACACAGTTCTTTGCTATATTGTTCTTGGTCTTCTTTTTTCTTGGGGCCAAAGTCAGCATCACGTTCTGTCTTGTTTGGGGTGACAGTTATAATAGATAGCAAAAAGTGTCAAGCATTATACTTATTAGGACTTATTATTAACATACTCATCATCACCATAATTCATGTGCCATATCCCTTCAGGATGTGAGCAATCATGGATCTCCATAACTTCCTGTCTCATGTTGCTCTAAGCAATGTTTATTCCAAAATACAAAAAGGAATCTAATGTTTTTCTCATGAGTATCTCCTGATATATTGGAAAACATAAAAAAAAAAGTGCTTTCAGTACAACACCAATAAAATGAACACTGCAATTATTTACTGGAAATCAGGCATATAAAAGTAGTAAATGTTTTCTCTTGAAGAATATACAGCACAAAAGATTATCTGAAAAATAACTAAGAAAATACTTACGATATTTATCTAACCTTTGGTGCAAATCTTTAGCATACAAGATATATGTATGAGGGATAACTTCATAGAAGCTGAATGATTTAAAACAAAAAAAAACAAAAACATATTAGTATAAATTTCAAGTGGTAAAGTTTAAGAAAGAAATATTTTTTGGATTGTTTCAGTGGTCTATATATATATATATATATATATATATATATATATATATATATATATATATATATATGTGTGTGTGTGTATTTCCAAGAGGATAAAATCCAGGTAGAGCTCAATGTACAATACAGAGCAAGAATATAATATAAAAAGCTCAAACTAAACACTAATATTCCATGGTTATAATTTTTTATTACATTGGAATTGTATACCTACATGTAGGTCTGATGAATTGAAATTGTGATTACGATTCCAATATAATAAATGATAACTATGGAATATTAGTGTTTCAATTGAGCCTTATATATATATATATATATATATATATATATATATATATATATACATACATACATACATACATACATACACATATATATATATTAGTAGTACATGATGAAATGCAAAAATTACCTCATATGGGGAACAGACCTATTTCAACCAACGAAATCTTTGTCAGTCTTAGTCAACCCCAGTTTATAAAGAGTCTATATATCAGAGTTGAATAAGACTGACAAAGATTTCCTCAGTTGAAATAGGTCTATATGAGGTAATTTTTGGATTTCATTGTGTACAATTATTTATTTGCTCTGTAATAAGTACATTGAGTTCTTTTTGTAGATTAGTTTTAATATTTTATATTACTAGGATCCACTTGGATTATATACCAACGGATTTATTACCTTTACTATATATATATATATATATATATATATATATATATATATATATATGTTTTAATCAATTCACTCCATGAAAGGCGATAATGCCATTAAGATGAAAGGGCCTACTGGAAGTAAAAGTGAATAAGAAGATTTTAGAAACCAGAAGCTCAATCCTAAACAGGGAACAAGGGATAAACCTCTAATACTGTTCAAAAGACTAGAGAGGAGTGTGAACTGGATGATAGGTTCCCCTATCTACTCCTATTGGGAGAAAAAAAAATAGTAAATAAAATTTCAAAGTTTAGGCAGAGATGTTAGAAGTATAGACTTGAAATAGACTTTAGAAGAAACCAACCCCAATACCTCTACATCAGTTCAATAGACCAAGGGAGATTGTGAACTGGATGATAGGATGGACCTATCTTATATATATTATATATATATATATATATATTAGAAAAATTGAATAGATTTAAGTACTATCATTAAAAACATGCTTTTGTGTACAAAGTAGGCTCCAGATTTGAATTTTCACATTCGCATTTATTAGCCAATCAGCAACATTATGTCAAACACTCTTAGACATTTGAAATTTCAGACTAGCATGTTTGTTGTCTGCTATGAAATTTGCAAGATCACTACGGAAAATGATTAACAATTATTTCACTCCTAGAAATAGATATTTAAAATTTGGGAAAAATATTTATTAACCAATAGACTTTTGAGTTTAGTCAATCTAATTTTTAGCTTCTTCAAGCCTATTTTCTATAAATATTCATTGCGTAAAGTTAGTATTCAGTTTTTTTGGAAAACCTTTGAACAGGGTTGTATACAGCTGATTAGTCAAACCTTTTGCATAATTAATTACTCAACCATTTACATATTTTATCGAGTAACTTATTACAAAAGCCAAGTTATTTTAAAGTAAATTAAGCAACATGAAAAAAACGTTTGTAGTTATAAAACAGCTTCCCCAGCTCTGCTACTGCCAGAAAATTACTGCATTCATAAAACAACATAAATACATGACACTTCTTATGCAGAAAAATTCTGTTTCTTCTACCATACAAATGCAATTTATTCTGTGATGTAAAAAATAAAAACAAAAATATTTTTGTGAGACTGTATTGCAAGGACATTTGTAATTTGTTTCATTCAACTTGAAAGAAAACAAAAACTGAATAATAAAATTTATTTAAAATTTGTAGAACTGTGTTTGAAGATTTTTTCTTTCTTCCCTTTTAACACTCTACATATATATTGCATTTCATATATTCTTGTTCTCATTATTTCATCAGTTAATTTTAATGCAGTGATTTCCTGGATTGAAATGACCTAAGTAACTCCTTATTTCTTACTTGCTTAAGTTAGATAATATGAACAGAACAATAAATTATATGGAAAGTTCTAAATACTTTGATGATCAAAGTTTTTCTAAATATAAACTAGTATGACTTGAGGAAAAGTAAAATTACTTACTTGTAAGGGTTGAAAGACATTTTCATTAGGGAGCAAGAAGCTAGGATGTTTTTAGGTTTTCTTTTGCCTCTTCGAGTTTTCTTCTTCAGAGTCTTTGGATCATTATTTTTATTAATGCCTACTGACAGTTCGCTTTCTTTCTTCTTGGATTTGGGTTGACCATTCTGATCCCTTTGACAAAGAGAATATATTTGGTCAGCCAAGTTTTGCATTTTTTGTTTTTTGTTTTTGGACTGATTGCTCAAAGAAACAACAGGGGGAGGAAAATCAGGAATCCTTCCTGAAAGCAAGCTAAGAGATTCTCTTGCAGCACTTTTCTCATTTTCTAGTAATGAAATCTTCGAACTCGGTTTGTGCAAATTGGTTAGTATTCCAAGAGGATGCTTGTGTAAATCTGTTTTGCTAACCATTGACATAGTTTTTGAAGATATCACAGACAAAGGTGATGGAGTATTTAATGTATCAGATGATGATCTATCAGAAAAAGTGTGAAAAAGCCTGGTAACTTTTGGTGAAGTTTGATTTGCATTTGAAGAGAGAATTGAGGTACATGAAGATATCATCGAACTTTGGAAACATTTTGAAACAGTCTTTGAGGAAAGATCTACAATGGATTCTGCTTGACAACCAGAATTGTTTTGAAATTTCTTAGCAGCTAATATTTCCTCATCTCTGAATGGGAACTTCCTTTTTTGTAAATTCTTTGTTGGCGGCTTTGGATATATTTCTTGTCCCACTTTTATTAAGTCATAGAGAGGAGTACCTGTAATATAAAAAAATTACATTCATGAATATTTTTTCACACATATTTTAAGACAGATATGTGAAAACATCAGTTCATACTAGATGCTTCTTCTGTGTTGTGTTCCTTCTGGATGTGGGTAATCATGGCTCTCTACAACTTCCTGTCCTTTGTAACTCTCAGTAAAGTTTATCTTTTTGTTATATTTCCTAATCCCTGTTCTGCCAACCATTTACACAAGCTTGTTAGGTTATGCACTACTTTCCTCTGTCCCACTTACCTTCAATAAATTCCATGAGTGTCAAATTTTTCCAAGTCCTCTTTTCTCATTATGTTCCCTAGAAATTTCAACTGTCTCTTTAGGATGCTATGTGTAAGTGTTTTTTTTTTTTGTTTCCATTTTCTTTAAAATTTTGTGAATGTCCAATCAGATCATAAGTAAATATTAAGTTGTAGAAGAAAATCCTCTTACATTTTTGACATAATTATGTTGCAACCACTTTTTCAATAGTTATAATAACATAACCATTAATTTTTATGCACTAAGGATTTTTCTTTCTTTGCAGATTACTTACTATCAGAGTGGTTAAATTTTGTATCAATTTTAAAATTTCATCTCAGACACTGTATGCTGTACAAATTTCAAAAAGAGGCTCTTCAGTAACTCAATCAGCAAAAAATATTTATTCTATGGAAAAGAAACTTTAAGTGTCTAGGCATAGAAACAATGAGTTACCAGTTTCAATTGGAAAATTACTGGATTGCTGTTCATTAATGATTAAATTATAAATTCATCAGGTTTTATTTTCAATAAGAAAGCAATATTTACTAAAAACAAAAAACTGAATATAGCAAAAAAATAAGTTCATTATAAAAAGTGATTAACATTCACCTATAATATGTGTGAGATCTGATTAATGAAAGCATAAGATACTTAACAAACAGGATAAGAATGGTAATTTTAATGAAAACATTTTGCAAGAATCTTGGCACTTAAAATATAAAAATATGATATAATTTTCTCTTAAAGCAGTTTAAAAATTACACACTTATTGATCTGAAATCAGAAAATAGAATATAAAACTGACAAAGCTCTCATGCAAAAAATACTCATATTTAAAATGTATTTTACAAGAAATGGAATATAAGTTTCAAAAGTGAATTAATCCATGGATAAATAAAAAGTATATTAAGTACAGAAAATTATTTATGAGGGCATGTAGCATTTCCTAATTTGTATATTCTAATTTTGAAATATTAAAAACAAAAATACCAAGATGAAGGAAATATTTCTTACCAGTCAACTGCAGATAGGAATTGGGAGGTAATAACATGAATAATGACCGTTTGCCCATCAGTAATTCCATGGCTTCATCTCCAATCCTACAAAGATAGTTCTTTATGAGTAGATTACTAAAGTTTCACCATATCATCTGCAAGCATGAAAGTGGGTGTATATATATATATATATATTCAGCATAATGTCGGAAGACCACTTCTGAGATACAAAAATAAGCTCAAATATAAGGTTAATTGGAATACAGCCAAAAAAAAAAAAAAAAAAAAAACTTGGAAGAAGATATCTAAAATCATAAGAATTGGAGACAATCTTAATGTGAGAATTAATCATTATGTGAAATGCAGAATGGAACATTTGAGTGAAGCCAAGTTCATGTAAATGATTCATGACAAGTCCCATGGATTTGCAATAAATTTGTAATTTTTTCAAAAGCTTGGGGCAACTTAACAAGCATAAGCATAAATAAATGGAGTGAAAACAGTGAATCATTGATCTCTATACATTGAAAACTATGAGAGAGACATATACACACACACACACACGTGAATTACAATCAATGAAACCCAAACAAATTACCCCATACAGATGGCCATTTCATCTTTGGGAAAAAAAATTTCCTGGACTTGTCAATGCAATTACATAAGATTTTTTTTAACATTGACAAGTCCAGGAAAATTTTTTCCTGAGGACAAAATGGCCATCTGTATGGAGTAATTTATTTGGGTTTCATTGATTGTAATTCACTTATATGCTCTATAATAAAAATTATATTGAGCTCTCTTTTGTGGATCAGTTTTAATATTTTATATTAATAGGATCTACTTGGATTACTTACCACCGGATTTATATATATATATATATATATATATAAAAAAGTGTACACTGAGGTTAACAATGAGCAACGACAATCTGTTTTATGCTTGAACACAATCTTCAGGCCATGTATGTCATGTTTTGGTTAAATTATTTATATATGTTGGTCAATGGTGCATATTATATATATATATATATATATATTACACACACATATATACACACGTTAGTGCATAGCGTTAAAAATTTAGTGTATTTCCTAAGTCCCCAACATGATAAACAGAATTTATTATCGAAAAAAGACAAAAAAAAGATGACAATTTAGCAAACACCACTTAGAATGTCATTTGATGTTTTTCCTGTTTAAGATACATGTTTGTCGATTGAATTATACTAAAACAGTGTCATTGGTAATTAAAGCGTGTGTGAAGGGTAATTCTACTTTCAATGTCTTACTTCTAATATATTGATGTGCCAAAATTCATAGTATAGCAACATGTAAAGTCAATGGTAGGTAGCATCACTCTACCTTGATGTCACGGAAATGCCTAAACCTATATGAGGTGTGCTCTAACATCTGGTGAGTCAGTGAAAACACTGGCTAAACTGGTCATAGCAAGTTGACCTGAATTATCAGAGTTCAAATAGGGCATTTCTCAAACTTTGGGGATATTTGACATTCCCTGATCTACAGTGTCACATATGTATTAGGAATACCTGATGGAAGCCAGTACCACCTAATTACTTTAATGATTTTGTCTAGAATTGTCTGTGAATATGAGAAAAAGAAAATATTTCATTATTAAGGAGAGAGAACAACAAAAGAACAGGAATTAAGATGACATAAGATAACAACTGATGTTGCATTTAAATTTTTGAAGAGCAAGAGGCTGGAAGAGAGTTCTACAAGCAAGCAAGAAGTACAAGAGAAGAAACTGTTAGCATGGAACTTATGGTTACATTTAGCCATTTCAACTGTAAAATGATGAGACCTAGTAATGCCCTTAAATTTGTAATGTTGAGCTACCAAAGAGGAAAGCAATTACCATGAAAGTATTTATAGAAAAAGCACAGGGAAGCTACCTTACAGATTGGCAACTTTTAGTGTGGTTTGATGAGTCACAGTTGTTTTGGGCTGATGGTAGGATTCTATTGCGGTGTAGATCCCATGGGACCCAATTGTCAATAATGCACTGTGTAGGCTGGTAATGGCTCTATGACATGTTCACATGACATAATTTAGGTTTTGCTGGCTTGCCTAAACATGTCTGACTAGTGACTGCTACTCCATATACTCCAACAATAATGGATTATTCCAACTGGACAGTACATTGTGTCCAAGTTGCTCAGAATTTATTTGGGAAGCATTCTGGAAACTTCTGATGAATAGTGTGGCCACTATGTTCACCAAACATAGGACCAATCAAACATTTATGGGACATGGTGGCGATCCTGCATCTATAAGTATCAGGGAACTATGGACAACTATTGAGATGGCATTGCTCAATATTTCTCCAGAAGTTTTCCAACCACTTGTGGGAATGGATGCCACGTTAAGTTGTTGCTTAAGGAGAAAAATCTTACACAATATTAGGCAACTATCAAATGACCTTTTTGCACATCAGTATATATCATAAAGTAGAAGAAACTAAACAAATCTATTACCTAAAATCAATTTTCTTTATTAGATTTTACACTTCATTTACATATTAACTAATGATTTATTTGTAATAAATTCAGTTTCATGCAAGACCATATTTGTAAAGTAAATTTAAAAACAAGACATAAATTTGAAAACAAATTTGTTACTAACGTCTAGTAAAAACAACCATATCAGTATTAGGACAAATCTGAACTAGTGATTATATCTGATTTGATACCTCATTCAAGACATAAATATCTTATATGAACAATTTTTAAACAAGATTTGCCTGATGGATTGAAAATATCTATATACTAAATACATAAAAATCTAACAAATTTACCTGGATAACAACTTCTCAAAATGAGAAGAACAAAGCCTATTATAGATGTAACTTGGGTAAAAACACTCAACATTGTAATGTTGGGTTTTCATGGCACCCTTGTTTGTTGATAACTGAAAGAAATAAAAAAAAAATATAGTAATCTAACAGGATAAATAGAAATTATTGTTGTTAATTTTCAAAACTGAACACAACATATTCAATAAAATGAAAATATTGTTAAAGTATTCTTAGTGAAAAGTTAAGTATTAAATATTTAATTTTAATTATTTTTTTTTTTTACATAAAGTTTTTATGAGTGAAACATTTAGCAATCAATATAATTTTTAACACATGTTATGAACATTTTGCTCTTAGTACCTGTTTACCATAAATCCATGGGCTGCAGTAGCTGTGATAAAATCAATTGTTAGGCAGAAATTAATTTTAAGTCATTAAAATCTTTTTCCTTATAAAAATAACAAGAAAACACATTTTTAAAACAAACAGTAACTGCCATCAGCCATTCTTACATAACTGATAAGCGATGAGAAGTGCTGATAAAGTGTTGACAAGTTTATTGTTTTGTTCTAGAAACTTTATCTGAGTGTCTTTTTCATATAATTTTTAAGTACTCAGTAATCTTAAAAATGTTGGAAAATAAGGTGCTAAAACGCTAATTGTAAATATTATGTCAACCACCAATGCAACCCCCTCCCCCAAAAAAAACAAGATTTTTAACAAAAATTTTGAATGTGCTAAAAAGGATTAAAAAATTTAATAAAATAAAAAGATATTTTGGTCTTTCATCTTAATAATAACAAACATTTTGATGATAAAACTGTTTTTATTAAGTTTAAAGGCTTTTTTTCATCATTCTATGCTGTTTTTTCAGTGAAAAAGTGGAGGTACTTATTCAAAAAAAGTGTAACTTACCATACGGAATCCAAAAGCCATAACATTTTCATGTGAACTAGTTCGATTCTTGATTCGCTGAAATTATAAAATTCTTTCATTTTAAGATTAATATAAAATTAAAAAATATATTTTATATATTACAAAATAAAATATTTAGCCACAAAATCTTCTGAACAAATATTTTTCATTGATTTTACTGCCACAGTTTATAAGGAAAAAAATAGGATCAAAATAGTGTAAGACCATAATTTCAAATATTGGTGTTAGCCTCTAAATTTATAAGAAAGTACACAAATTCATTTGCTAATAATTTATCTATTAAATATGAAATTTATATATATATATATACACACACACAGTATATTTGTGTATTTAGGCAGCAATCCTTCTTTCATGCACATTTCATTGAATACAACAGACAAGGTGCTTTTATTTAGTTTTTTATAAAATTTCTCATGCGATCTAATAATTTTTTCCTTTTCAGATGATAGATTATATAAAAACTGTCCGAATGTTCTTTTTATCCAAGTGCTTTCAGCTATACATTTAGCCATTTTCAAGGATTAAATATTTTAACTGTTAAATAAGAAATAGTTTGTTGTATATATGTTTTATAAAACATTTTCATTTTTCAAAACATGCTCAAGATATTGTGCCCATGTTCAAAGATAATATTATTAAGTGTTGGTTTTTTTGTTTTTAATAATAAGGCTTCCATTATTTTTAGCCTTTTTTTGCATATAGATGATGCTATTATATTAGTGTTGTCAACAAGTATGTTACGAATAGTGTCCAGTAAGTCTCCATGAATATTTAAATGAGATCTAATTGATCTATTTTTTTCCTTATAAACTGTTGCAGTTTTTATATAATTTATCATTCAAAGAGAAAAAAATTATTAGATCGCATAAGAAATTGTATAAAAAACTAAATAAAAGCACCTTGTCTGTCGTATTCAATGAAAACACACATACATACATATATATAAATATATATTCATAAATATTGTCTTCTCTACCGATTAAATCGGAGAAATTTTCATAAATATATATGTATGTATATATATATATATATATATATATATATATATATGAAAAAAATGATAGTAATATTGTTGGTGTTGGACTAATAGTCAAGAGGCACACAATTAAACAATTTTTTTTATATTTATGTAAAGAAAAATTTAAGTATTTTATTGCCAAATGCCAACAAAATGTTTTTAAAATCTGAAAGTCCATCAGATACTGAGTGTTTTATAGAAATATCTTCATTGAAAATTTCATAAAAACCTGAACATAAATTACATCTTGTGACTTATAAATCTACAGGTAGAAAAATAAATAAATAGAATTAATAACAGTGATGATATTATAATTTTTACAACATTGTTACAATTTGAATTCAGAATAGTTATTACATTTTTATCATTAAAAAAAATCTAGAAATAAGTTGCAAATGAGAGTTTTTACTATATTTTTTCTTTCATTGTTAAGTTAAAGTGAAAGATTTGGCCAAGTAAATTCAACAAACTTAAGCTAACTATGGATTCAATATTTTCATAGTGGAAGTATGATATAAAGTAGGATGGAAAAATTACAGCTCCAATATTTTCATGGTAAAAGTGTGATATAATGTAGGCTGTTTAATAATGCTACTATAAATATTTTATATCTTTTTCTTTCAGATTATAAGAATATTATTCATAATATAGTTTGGAACTTGTTTCCATGTTTGTCCCAACTAAAGAAAACATTAAAAATGTTGTACACTATTATTTTCATAAAGGTCTCAACACAAGCGCAGCAGTAAAATCCATCCAGTGCACTTATGGAGTTGATGCATTGAGTGAAAGAAGTTGCAGAAGGTGGTTTTCCAGTTTCAAAAATGGGAGTTTTAGTCAAGAGTCAAGCCAAGAGAGGATTGTCCAAAAGGGTTAGATTCAAAAGATTTGGAAGCTGCTGTTACAGTAAATCCTGCCACTCTGGCTAGGGAACTCAGTGAGAAATTTAATGTCAGTCATATGACAGTCCTACGCAAATTGAAAAAGTTTCAGTGGTTGGAAAATGGGTCCTGCATGACCAGTCTTCTGACAATCACTAACATGTTGACTGTTGTGAGTTATTTCTTAGACAACTTCAAGTGACCTTTTTGGATAGGTTTGTTACTGGTGATGAGAAATATATCATTTACCATAATGTTAAGTGCCATTGTCAGTGGATCAGTTGAAGAAACAGACCTGCTCAGCAACTGAGAGGAGAACTTTATCCAAAAATGATCATTTTGAGTGAATGTTAGGATATCCAAGTAATCATCCATTATGAACTATTAGACAATAATCAAATAATGCTGATCTCTAATGCCAACAACATTTTCATTTAAAAGCCATCCTGAATCACCAGAAAAAGAGTAGTCCACCATCACGATAATGCCCATCCTCAAATTGCAGGATTGATTAAGGATCTTAGAGGAGCCTGGTTGAGTAAAATGGCTTCATTGTCCATATCCTTCTGATCTTGCTCCTTCTGATTATCACTTCTTTAAGAGTTTGCAGAACCATTTGGATGGTCTTAGGCTGATATCAAGAGAAGAGGTTGAGTACAAATCAGTCACATATTTTATATCAAAATGTAAAGAATTTTACAAATGTGGCATCTATAAACTTGCCATCAGAAAGGTTGTTGATAAAAATTATGAACAACGTAGGTTTAAGGATAGCACCTTAGAGAATACCTACATTAATGCAAAAGGATTTTGCGATTTGATAAGAAGGACAGAATCAATTCAAAAATTTGTCCAGAAATACCATGACCTTTCAACTTGTGAAGAGAGACCAATATACCAAACCCTGTTAAATGCCTATGAGATATCCAAAGCAACAGCTCGAGCTTCACCATTCTTATCTAAAGCTTGATAGACTTTTTCAGCAATAACCATTATTATTATAGGTAGAAACTTACAATACCAGAATCTTATTTTTATTTTTATAATGCCAGATTTTATGGTGAACATTAATGGGTTAATAATCTTTGAGTAATAATATCAAGCAACCTCAATGATGCGTAACAACAGTTCATTTTGGTAGGACACTTGTTCGGTGGAGATAATTTGCTGGACAGGTGGAACATCATGGTACCTGGCAACCAAACAGTTTGTAAATAGATCCTGGTACCTGAAATAAAAACAAATCCTAAAAGTATAATCATTATCACAATTTTTGTAAAACAATTTCTCAGTTTAAAATTCTATTACTATAATTATTACACTCAGTTATTTCTCTGGCCACACATACATGTACAAAAAGGTAAAATATATGAAATAACTATTTGTATTATTGTCACAAATAAAAACTCAGATATAAATTTTTGTTAAATAGTAGTACACTGTTCTTTTGATAAATGTGAACAAAGGAGTGCATTTATAGATTCAGAAATTTAATGAATTTTCAGAAGTGTTGTAATTTGGTTTCAAATAGTCACTACAGCATTTTATGCACAAATCTCAAATACTTAAAGTTCAATTCTTTCATTGCCAACAGATTTTTCCTATTAATATTGAATATTTTGTACTTATTTGTCACAAGTGATTAAATGCACATTTATAGATTAATATAATTACTTATCATTTCCTTTCACTAATAAGTATGTTGCATAGTAGATTTAAATATCATTACAATACTGACATTAATTCAAGCTAGTGTGATATTTATTGCTATTGGTTGTCAAACTCTGCAAACATCTTTGTTGTGATCAAATACACTTTCAAACAAAGTAGTAATTTAGGTAAATTCTCAAATCTGTAGAAACATCTTTCTCATATATAATGATAACAAATATTGTGGTCTACAAAAAAAAAATAAAGCAACCAGAATATTTTTGTGCTGTAAGATAGTGTTTTTAAAGCAGTAGATTTAATGAATGAAGTTAAATAAAACCTTATCTCAAATTAAGCATCAAAGTTTAAAATAACAAAACCACAATTATTTCTGCATCATCCAATGCCAGGAAATTACATGGGACAATAAAATGATCTAATATACTCCAGTGCCTTTTATAAATGTAATTCATTAACTATCTTTTTAGAATCTTGCCATAATTCATGAAGATATAAACAAATACAATTTTATCATTTTCCTCATGATACTTGTATACCTGAATTGAATCACAAAAACATCACCTGAAAAATTTAGGCCTCATTATTTGCTCTATTTAAAACCAAAAATTAATCACATTAATTTAAACTGATATAAATCTTTATATATATATATATATATATATATATATATAAAATTGACAAATTTTATTAAAAAAAAACATAAACCAGTCAGAAAAAGTTACATAGCCTATGACCTTTGCCTTAAAAAGATGTACTACTCAGCCAAATTTCAGCTTCCTAAATACAAAATACATGTCCTACAACTTGGAACAAACATATATTCTTTTACATATAATAATATAATTTATTTCATAATTTTTTTAATTCATACTATATAAGAAACACAGAACCTAGTCTTGTCGATTAATAACTCTGAAGTCAACCATAGTTGGGATCATTGAGTCAATGTAAATAATCCTTTCCTTAGCTGCATAGTATGTGAATCAGTAAGATATTTTATTATTTTAAGTCTGTATTTTAAACCAGAAAAGAAAGAAACAATATCCAGTTCTATTGCAAGCTTTTTTCTCTACCAGTTCAGTCAAAGTACTGAAATATTGTAATGTGAACAAATGATGTAGCATTTGAGAAAGCACCATTTCAAAATGATCTTTGAGATCAACATTGGATATTTAAGCCTGGTAGAGAAATTATAAACAGCAAATAGAAACTAGCAAAGATATCGCTAGAACAACTTGAGAATCAGCCTTGGCGTAATCTGACAAATTCTGTATATGCATGAACAGATTTCTATGAGGTTACTCAGTTGGCAGTGAATTGTCATTGAGTGACTTTGTGAGAAAATTCTTCATGTCACCTGTGGGGATTTTTAGAAAAACATTGCATCACTCAAGTCTGTGTGACTCCCTCTGAGTTCTATCTTTTCT